CTAGATTTTTACCTAGCGACCTTAACAGGCATAACAACCTTCATAGTGCGTTCTAAAGTACGGTATGATTCAAAATAAACAAAGACTTACTAATGGTGCTATTTAAGAATCAATTGTTAAACCTTAGAAATAGTTAAATATACTTCGTACAACAAATTATTACGAAATTAAATCTTAATTCGCGGGAAGTTTTGAAATGTTGTAAACTTTTGCACTCCCAATAGCTGGGTTGCTGCGTAAGTATAAATAAATTGACTTGAGTACTGTCATCAATTTTTCAAACTGTGAATTTTTGGGACCATATTAAGTTATAATCTTCGAACTAGGCAAACAATTTTTTGTACGCTGTCTTGTACTTATTAAATATATTTGTATTAAACGAATGTTTTTTAATGACGTCTGTAAAATGAATATTACGTCAAGTTTGATTTATGTCAATGCTCTACCTTATACCAGAGAAGAAACATTCTGATGCCGTTGTATATTCGTCAAGTGTCTCGCTTCAGGCCAAAGTGTTTGACTACCTCATAATGAGGAGATTTACTACGCAAAACTCGAACGGTAGTTAATGAAATACTGCAGACATAATTTGAGTTTGGGCTCAGAACAAACATAGTTAGTTATTCTCGCTTGGCGACCTTCACCTACAAAAGGAACATACGACTCCATAATCACTATACTTACAACGTTTGTATGAAAATTAAACCTAAACGTGGGGCACATAAAACATGCGGTAATCTTAATTAATTGTGTTCAGTAAAGCGAATTTAGTAAATTAATAATTAACCAGAGGCTCAATAGAGGCGACCCTAACCCACATATGTTGACCCTACAGCTCCAGCGGTTGTTAATAAGGCTGTTGGGCCGGTCCATAACCAGTAACCGATATTTAATCAAGGAGATAACCGAGCAGGTAGTCCGCGACCGCAACCGAGAATTAGGCGAGCCTGCTTGTGGAAGGGTAGAGGCGCCACTGGTTGTGCAAGGCTTGTAACTTGTAACTTGTAGCTTGTAACTTGTACGCTACACTTGTAGTGGACGTGATGACAAGTCTGTGTTTAGCGTCGCTCAGCTGTGATTTGTATCGTATCGACCTTGACAACTTGTTTCACTGGTATTACCGTCATATCGTTTGAAGAACGATCTAATGGACGTTGTTTATTGTTGAATACATTTGCAAAAGTAGGGCGTGAAACGGCCAGTAATTATTTAATTACGGTTTTCAGCCAAGAAGGACTGTTGAATGTGGGGATTAGTTATGCATGTAGTAAGGAAATATGACCGATTGACAATTATGGTAGAGTAAAGAAAGTTATGGTCAAGTGAGATAAAAATGATTTAATTATGATTAACTAATCACGTTGTAAATGCAAGAGAAGTGTTGTAGTCAGCATAAACTATGCTAGTATTCAGTGAAAGAAAATTTTAGTTCTATGATCATTATAGTGTAAAATTTGAAATTAGTGTTTTGTTATCCAACAAAAACATTTACTAAATTAGTTTGTAAATTAGATTCCTTAAAGGTCAAATGTTTCGCTAAATAATTGTCATTCTTCGGTAAAATGCATAATACATAATCGTAAAAGTAACACAATGTCAAAGACAGATGACATTGGAAGATGTTCGGAAAGTAGTATTTTCAATCTAAATTTCCAAAAAAAAAAAAAAAACGGGAAAAGATAGAACCAATTGTAAGAACTCATTTGCTGGTTTATTTATAGGTTCACTAAGCCGTAGACCAGAGTCATTATTTACCAAGATAAAGTTGTTACTTAACATCGAGGGCAAGGGAGCATCTAGAAAGGGAAAGCATTTCGTTTCACGCAATCTTATCATAACTCTATTAGGTATTGAGTCAGGCCAAGCCTATAACAACTAACAACATTCTTTGTGTCTGTCCCTTCTCACGATGAGGTTCTTATCAGTACCCTTGTCAGTGAACCACCTGGTTCGGCTGCTTAAAACCATCAGACATTCTTTATGACAAAAGTGAACCTTAGGTTGAACCCTTAATTGACAAAGGGCTGGACTACAGAAAGAACCACTTTATACCTTCTTCTTTCGGCATTGTGATACATTTTTCATAGGCTACAGTAGTTTCTATGCTTTGACTTAATATTTATAAAATATTTATTTGCATCTCGATAAAATTTCATACAAATAACTTTCATATTTTAGTAATTTTTCTGTTATGAACAATAGTGTTTCAGAATTATTTAAAAAAGTGTTAAGGCTTTGATCCTGATAAAACTAAATATCAATATTATAATATTAGCATTTGAACAAATGTTTTTATCGCACTTATGTATTTTCTAAATTTAGAAATATACATATGTATAAATACGTTCTTTCACGCAGTAGGTGCGAACTTTTTACCACTAGCTTGTCTAAACGGTTATTTAGTCACACACCAATCCTATAGGAAGTTCAAATAATATTTCACACCAATGCTTTAAACAATTTACTTGAAAGTGACGTAATATATTCACGTAAAAAGTATAATTGACCATGAACTGACTACGCTTGAACGCACATCTAGCTTAGTAATGTTTAATTTTTATTTGGTAGTAAATTCGTCATAATATAGAATATAATGTATTAATTCATATTAAAATGCGGATCAATCTTACAATTTACTAGTAAAAAGTCAATCTTTTTTTAGATAAGTACAGGTAAATGCGTAGTAGACCCGTCAGTAGCAGGGATGACATCAGCAAAGTTAGAGATAATCGCAGTAGAGCCATGACGGTCCCAGGCCGAATAAGCCCAGAGGTGGTAAGGTTAGCTACGCTCGCTAAACCGCATTGATCAAGTCCCACTCAATATACAAGATTAGATACGTGCTAAATAATCCGACTGACCTCTGTCGTATTGTTTATCCCTGAAATGTTTTTATCAGTTGTATGATTTTAAGAAGTAACAAATCGCCTTATAAGGGTTGTAAAACAATGTTAAAGGAATGTCAATTTTATATTGTTCAAGAAATTTTCTTAACCATATGGAGGTGGTGAGTAACTCAACTGGAGTTACCCCCATAATCAAGGGATTGCTCCTATCAATCAATTGCTTTATGATTTTTAAACATTCGATGAGCATGGTGCAGGCCTAAAAGACATATCATCATAAAATCTCTATGCCATACAAACCCAATGAGTGAGCTGGTCTAATGGTAGGGCGCTGGACTTCGGTCTCTGAGGTTTTGGGTCCAAATCCCGCTGTGTCACCGATGGATTTTATCTTAGTGATAATGCCATGACCCCTGGGTCTTCCTTTTTTTTCCTAGGACGCTAGGCACGAGCCCAGGATTCTTTTTCACATTACCTTAGGCTAGACCTAGGGTTTGTGGCATTATCACTGAGATGAAATCAATTGGTGATTTCGCGGGTTCTGAACCCGGGACCTCTTTGACCAAAGTCCCGCGCTTATACCAGCTCGCTCCCCTGGGTCTAGCTTGAAATAATGTGAAAAATATTGCCTGGCTCGTGCCTAGTGTCATAAGACAATGACATTGCTTTGCGTCCTCACCAACGAATCAAGGTGCCCATATTGCCAAAATACTTCTCAAACATTTAAAATATAAAATTAATATTCACATAATACTAGTTTTTCAATAAGATATTTACTTATCCCTGCAAATTCAAATAACACAATCCTGTTAATGTTTGGCAGTACAGTCCCGTAGTAGCCTAGTAGCGTGGTTGTGTAGTGAGGTCAGTCAGCAGTGTTTTGCACTAACTAGCCCCGTTTCTAGAAATAGTTGTATAAACAATGTTCACTCGGCAAGTTCATGAATGTAACTCACATCAAACGTGTGTCGAGTTGTGAGTAACGTAACGACTTTGATGACGCAAGACTCATGATTGTTCAGACTGCTGACATACACACAAACACACCGCAACTTGTATTTGATATGTCAAACGTATGGCGTACATTCTGCTTGATCCACAAGGCAATTGCAACGCTAACACAAACCTTACGACCTTTAATATGGGATTTTAAACAATAGCTAATTGCAAAAAAATAATATACACACGCGGAATTTTCATGTATTTTTACAGTAATTTCATAAATATGAAATCTAATATTAGCTTGTACAATCAGTAAACATTTTCGTTATTGGTACGTTTTTTTGGAATGTGTGCAAGATGTATAAGCTAATTAGATAACTACTGGCAATTTAATATGATATAAATACAATAATAAGTATTCTTTTTTATGTTCTCCTTGTTAACGTGGTTTTTCGGTTAAATAGTAAAATGTAGGTTCATGTAACAACTGAATAACTAAAATTAGTGTTTTTAAGTTTTCAGATTAACGACTCAAATAAAAGAAAAATGCTTAGTAAAAGGTAATATAGTAATAGAGCGCGGGCTTTGGTTTCCGAGTTCACGTCATATCAATCTCCAATTTCAGGAATTGATAAATCTTCAGCCTTCATAGGTGCTATCGGTGATATGTACAATACATGCAATGAATGAACTTCATTAAAATCTAGTGGCAGCCTTAGGATCAATAGCTTTCAGTTGTGCTATAGGCCTAACCCCACAACCCTCTAGGCTTAGCCTGATGTAATGTGCAAAGTAATGTGGTTCCGGGCTAGAACCTAGGGTTCAAATATGTAAGAAAAGAGCATAAAAAAATAGTCTTTGCATGCTCGGACACCAATACAATTTTGGTTTAACTTTTTAACTTGAGCATTCATAATTGTATGAACACTTTTTATACAAACAATCTATTCATACTGATCAGCAAAGTAAAATCATTGACCTCTAGTCAAAGATAAAATTTAATTCATTACATATGTTTTCCTTAACACTTTTGGAATTTTGAATGAGCAATTTGATTGATTGTTTCGGTGGACAAATATTGTTCGTAGATAATACAATCGGATGAAAAATGTAGCTGAGTGGTATGAAGAGTAATATTTGACAAACGTAGTATTACCTTACACATAGTGGCATATTGTTATTGAATGAGTGGTGGTGGTATTTGATACTTACGGCACATTTACACGTGTCTAGAATCTCAACCTCCGTGGTGACGCTGTCAAACGTGACGTTGTGTCTGTACATGAAATCTGAAACACAACATTCAGGGTCATTGTCTGAGGTGTCCTCCAGCCGAGCGAGCAAAGGGTACAGTATTCAGTATACAGTATACAGTATAGAGTATACAGTATACAGTATAATGAGGTCAGGTTGATACTGTACATTAATATCTAAAACATATTAGATCAAATTATAGCTTATCCCATAGCCGTATCAATATTATCTTTAAAATTCACTTAGTGGGTTCATCAATATAACAATGCATGTATGTTTAAATTTGTATTTATTTTTCCAGAAAACGTATATAATATTTATGGTTTACTTCTCCAAACCAATTCAGTCTGATTGGAATTAAGCCACAATAATATTGAAAGTGTTTATGTCATGTATTAATGATTGTTTACTGGTTAATTTAATCTTAATTAAGATAAACATTGATTACTTCTGATTTTCTATTGCTAAATAAATTAACAGCTTCATTATTCTTAAATGCAATGTCACTTTTTTGCACGTCACAAGACACTACAGCTACTTTACTCAGTACAATTATATTCTTTCGAAAACTGTAAGATGTTTTGAGGTCAGTGAAAAGAAATATCATTATAATTGTTTATACGTAAAGTCGTATTTTATAACTACATTTAGGAGTACAACAAGTACGCATGAAGAAGAGCACTCTTCACAATCTTTTAAACCAAAGGAATCGTATGGAATTTATTATTTTAATGACTCAATTAAAGCAGCGTGCGAAAATGTGGTTCTAAAACCTGTCTAAACGAGTTTTGGCTCTGCAGTCTACTTCAGTGTCATCTGAAACCTTGGTTTAAGTGTTTCAATGCGTACAGTTATGTGACCAATACTACTTCACTCATAGATATAAGAGGGGGGTAGATATAGCGTATTGAGTAGACCAAGGAAAGCCAAGACCAAACAGAGATATGAGTAGATGTTCAGTGACGGTATACAAAAACTTTACCTTTACTCTTAAAGGCATATATCAGATATGTATGATATATGCAGAGCATAATTTGAGGGAGCCACAATATATTTTTAAAATCTGGCATTCAACGTAACCAACTGATGACAAGGTAGCTTATTTGAGATGTGGTTGATTCCCAACTTATGTCAATCGAAGAACAATGTAAATGTTCGTCCAAGTCAAAAATCAGTTGCAGTGTCTGTTTTCTTGGTTTATTTGTGTACTTGGACAGATATAAATTAAGAATTTTACATTTCAATAAGCTATATGATGTACCATTTCTTTGCACTATTTAACTATTCAACTATTTAATGATATTATTACTAAAAAATTCGTTTAGCCGAAAGGTTTGCTTTTATAAAAACGAAATGCACTTTCAGGCTTTTATATTAGTTAAATAAATTAGCTACGGGTAAATTAAAATTATATTTGTGTTTTGAATACCCTTTATTAATTTTTATATTTTTTAACCACACAGAAACCGTTAGTCTAAAAACGGAACACTTGTCCTAGCTAGTAACATCTCCAATGGAACCAGTATGTTTTTTTGTATAACTTGTAAAATCATATTTTTTCGCCAGGTGTCTTCTTGCATCCTTGATTTACACATGGATGAACATCTCAGTATACGTTTATAAAACATTAAAACAACTGTCTTGGTCATATATAATCACTTAAACCATCTTTTAAAGTTCTTTGTTTTTTTTAGAATGATTAAAAGCGCCACTAGGCTTGTTGGGGCTGGTCTGTCAAAATAAACACGATATACAGTACTGAGGTAATAAATAATACGGCTATTTGGTTGATTAAGTTTAAAACATACCACACACCCACATAATTTAATTTTTCAAACGCTCAAAGGTTGAGTTGTATGAGAGATGCAATCATTATTTTTAAAGTCTTGTGTATTCCTTTACTTAATAACATATAATGGCTTATTCTTTTTTCAGCTCCTTGGTAAGAGTTTCAGTAAAGAAATGCAGTTTAATGCAATGGAACCAAATAAATTACAGTAATTCTGGTATCTAATTATTCGTATAATTGAACAATAATTATCATCCCTGATTATTATTGTCATCCCTGATTAGGAAATCAGTTAAATTACAGAAGCAACCAGTTTCGGCTCCTAAATTGAGCCATAATCAGGCTGTTTATTTCTAATCATTAGATTGAGATCTTCAAATGTAAAACATACAAAATAAACACTTAAAGAGAAAACACAGACGGTCAAGATATTTAAGGTTACCGGACGGCACTAACTTGGCGAAATGCAAGTCCAGAGATCCCTCCATCTCAACGCCTAAACCGGAGAATATCCAATCAGTTTTCTGCGTGGTAAAGACAACAATTATTGTGATGTAAGGTCATAAGATCTATTAGACAATTTTTTCTATTTTTGGGTGAAAATTTCATGGAAGTGTATTTTACGCACAAGATAGCTATAATACTTTTGTAAATTGGAAATACATTGAATATCCATAGTTACTATACGCTGGAGGTTTTTGTATAGCACATATATATTAGATTTATGTATACAGTTACATTCGGCAATGATAAATTTCATTAAGTATTGCAGTTGGCCCATAACTCCATTTCTCCATTTTTGTATGCCACCTTTTAAAGATAAATCTGCTTGTGAAATATCGCTAGTGCATAACACGCCTCTACCTGATGCCAAGTTTGTATCCACCGAAGGACACAACACCAAAATGATCCGGAGATTCAAATATGAAAATGACCTCACTAAAAACGCCAATCACAGATGTTCCGTGCAATATGAGGCCAAGGACGGAAAAACAATAACGAAGGAAATTTTGTTGGGGCCTTATGACTATGGTAACAAATCCAGAGACTGCAATGAAATATGGCTAATTCACAATGAACCGACAGAGATTTCCTTTATAATTAAGTAAAGAAAACCTGTAATAAATTAATAAAAATGGAGAAATACAAATGATCTACTAAGCTATTACACTCACTGCTTATTCAACTAATCTAAAACACCATTAATTTCAGTGACATAAGGCACTGCATACAAAAACAAAATATTTCAATGGTCCTGCTAAAATTTTTTTGATAGTATCAAAAATTTTCTGAATCTGTGTTATCCTAAAATCCAATGATACTTTATGTATTAATCCTATATTTATTTACAGTTCAATAAAATGCTTACCGTTACAATCAGCACCATTAGGTATCTGTTCTGTTCAATAAAGCAAATTCTAGTGGGATGATTCGGGTAAGTAGTACAAATTGACTGACGTAACACTGTATTTACATACTAGGCAACTTTCTATTTTCATTATCGGTTGTCACTGGTAGCTGATTTTATATTCGGGTCGGGTAGAGGAAGTGGCAGCACGCACGTCTTGGAGACGTTAACGGGTGGGTAGAACTTACGCGTCCTTCATTATCAACTAGTGGCCTACATTCATCGTCAATGAACTGTTTGAAAACAATGCACTTTGCTAAATTTCTTAATGTATTGAACACTACAATACAACCGTATAGTGTTTATGAAAATGTTAATGCCAAGAAAATGTATAGATGATTCAAGGAATGTGATAATGTGTGGTCTTGTGAAAAAAACTAGAATATATTTTACAAATTAAAATAATACGTTACCCCTTTATCTCCACACTTAACCTAATAAGTTTTTCGTCACTAAACAATAACGCTGATTCTCAATTATTGAAGCACTTCTCTATATTTATTGAATTAATGTTAAAATTTTCAAAGCAATTTTCTTTCTAATAATGCTGGAGTCGAGAACGGAAGAGTCTGCAATTAATCAAATTTACACTTTCATTGTTTAAAATTCGTCCCGTTAACAAAATTCTTTTTATTTGTAAAGTTAGTTTGTGTTTATAATCTGGGCGTTTAAAAAATGTTCCTACAGTATGTATCCCCTTGGTTAAATTGGGACAGATTATAATAGTAAATAGTAAACTTAATAAAAATTGCGCTTGTTTGTGTTAGAGGAGTATGACACATTTGGATAACGGTAAAATTTGTTCGTATATAACAGGAAATAAGAAGGAAGCTATTTTGGAAGCCAATTTGCAATGGTAAACAATGTACACTATTTACTTTTATCAATCATTTTTTATGATGCAGCATGATTGAAAACCCGGAACTAAAATTAATGTATTTTCAACTCTTCCTCATTTCCGTTAGACTAGAGCTAGTGTTAAAAAAGAGTCACTTTAGGCTATAGTAGAGCAATATACTGTTTAAATACAGTTAAGAGTTCGGGTAGCCACAAAGTGGCCAAATATATTGATATCATTGAATCCAAACAAATTAGTTCATGCTTAACGAGACTCTGGTTATACTTTAACAAGCAACTGCAAAGTCTCATAATGGAAACTGCTAGTACAAACTAGGAAAATATAAATTTATATTCATGAACATTAAAAAGCTTCCACAGGTAAAACATAATACCGGATACAGGTTGCTATAAACAATATTTTATATTAAAAGTTTTACATTTGGACATTTACATTTTATCAACGAAAGAGAACTAAAGTCACGAGACAAGGCTAAGTAAATGCAAACCTGTTGTTTATATTCCAACTGGATAGCAGGACGCTTCCATTCAAATTTATTGCGATCCGCAGAGATAAGAGGAGTGATAAGATGGGATTTACCACAGAGGGTGTAGACCGAGTGACCTGCTCCAGATCCGCCCTTTCCCCTGCCTTGCCGTTATAATTATCAACCAATGCCAGCGTGAATCATTTTCAGGAAGAGAAATCTTCTGCGCTCTTTTACATCGGAGCAGCTTAAAATTGCTAATAGTGTAATTGATTGTAGTTTATCAGGGAGAGAGTTCAAGTACCACTGTCCATTTCCCTTTTCCTTTTTGCTACTTACTCAACGTCAGGTAGTAGCACTTGTTCCTTTACACGCAAGTATCTTTTTGACCAACACGACGCTAAGGAATAATTAATCGCAGTTAATTAGTTTTAAAGAAAAATTAATTTAATTAATAGGTTGGCTCCGAATATGTTCACTAATGCACAAGGCGAAAGTAAGGCTTTTAACAGG